TCTCTCTCTGTCAAATAAATAAATAAAATCTTTAAAATAAATAAATTAAATAAATTAAAAAGTTCTTATTTCCTGATCCGCTAACTTTACTATTAATCTAGTCTAAAAAAATGAGATTCAAATGATTTATATACATATCATCTTCATTGCAGAATTGTTTACAATAGTCCAAAATGTAAAACCACTCATGGAAAACAACTGAAAAATCTTTGAATTATAGCACACCCATATTTAGAAATATTCTATAGCCACTCTCCAAAGAAAACTTAATGGCATGGGAAAATGTTTATGTATAATACTAAATGAAGAATAAAGCAGGATACAAAACTATGTTAATTATGATCACAATTATGTTTATAAGTTCTTTGAAAATGGGAGGAAGTAGGTACAGCAAGATGCTGAGGGGCTGTCACTAGGTGGTTGGTTTTCTTTACAATTTCCTGTATTTTCTGATTTTTCTACAATGGGCAAAAATACTTTCACATACAAAAAATTATTTTGGGGGGGAATACACTAGCAAATACTTTTAATATCCATCTATCAGTTTATTGAGAATAAGAAGGAAACCAAATGTCCAAAATATATCAAAATTTGTCTTTGCTGGTTCTTAATTTAAATCTGCCCAAAGTATCATGAGTTAACTACAGCAATTTAGGACAGATAAAAATTTTTAAGTGAGAAAAAGCTCATTCTCACTTTTGTCAGTTCCTCAAGGAAGAAAGGAAGAAGATATTCCAATAAAAATGGTTTCAAAGAGTGGAAAATTCTTTTTAAGGTTAGCAGTAGGAATTTTTCTCAATTAGAATTTACTGGATCTATTTTAAGCAGCATTCATATAAAAGCCGAAATACCCACTTGTATATGAAATTCTGGCAAGATGCTAATAGCAAAAAGTACCCATAATAAAACTAAATATACAATTTAAACATGCTTATGTACCTATGAACACAAAATGGAAACGTAACTGTTATCTTGAAGTCTGCTATACTATACACCCCAACCCCTAAATAATTCTTTTATCCCTGAACTCCTGTGGGACTTAAGATACAGTATTCATTTTGGTTCTTACCATTTTACTTCCTTGTATGGCTAATTATGCTCATAAATGTACAGATTTTATCCATCAGTTGTTTCTAGACTTGAGTTTTTTGGAAGACTGACACTGTGCTTTACAAAGCAGTGCTTGATAAATGTGTTCACTTTAAGCTTACTGTTATTGAAGATTTTAATATCTTCCGGTATATTTTTTCTCATTCATGTTCTAATACCTACAGATTTAACATAATAATCTTCAAGCGTGTCTACAAATTTGAAGAGTCTGATCTAGAATTTGGAAAGGTAAAATTGAGAAGAATAATCCAGCTGAAGGGGCACAGAATGAAGAGAGGTGAGAATATTTGGGAGGAAAAGGTTAGCCCTGTGAGATACAAGGTTGAGAATCAAGACAGAAAAAGAAAAATTAGAGAAGTTGGAAAACCAGATAGGTGGCTGTACACTTTCCTTAAAAAAAAAAAAAAAAAGTTATGGGAAATAAAACAAAGACGACCTCTCTTGAAAAAAGTAGAGTCCTAGGAAAATGGGATCCCCAACACAGCAAGGCTGCAGTTCGTTGGACCCAAATAATGTTATCCTGTATTTCTCTTTACATAAAACATTTGCCCTCAAATTTGTCACAGTCCCTACTGGGCTCCTAGCAGAAGGACTGTCAGCTGTCATTTAACATCAAGTTTGCACTACCCGTGACTCTTTCAAATGTGGGAAAATGAAAGTTAACCTGACAGGAACATGGTGAACTAACTGCGGACCTCTCCCCCCTGCAAAAATGTCTATCCCACACAGCAAATATTCTGTTGAGGGCTAATTTCCTGCCCCCAAAAGAAGTATAAATGTCAACTGTCAGCTTATCCTGTTCATACCCTGATTTCAAGTTCTTTAAGTAGAGGTGAAAATTTAATGATAATGATTTTTCTTTTATTTTTCCTCCTCTCTTCAGTTTGCTACCTAGTAGACCTAGTAAGCCTCAAAACTCAATCACCTCTTCTGAAATGGGGAGACTGGAAAAAAAAGGCCCCATCCTAGTACAGATGTTTGCACGTCATCTTTATAGTATGGTTAGAAGCTATACTAACTTTAAATTTTTTTTTTTTTGCTAAGAGTTATATATATTTAGGATGTATGGCACAATATTTTAACGTTAGTGAAATGCAACTTTGTATCCTTTAACCAACATCTCCACACCCTCCCTGCCTGTCTGTGGTAACCACCATTCTAAAATCTGTGAAGCTATCCTATGTTAACTTTAAGCTGTACCTGACAAACTGAGTCTCAAGGGACTGACCCACAGATTAAAGAGGAACTAAGTCACACGTAAGAGCCGACAAAGGGAACCGAAAGGACTATGACTTAGCTAAAGTCCTGTGGGAGCCAGAGGCTGGCACGTACCTGCTCCTCAGTCAACTGAACCAAGCCAGGGCTGAAATTCAGTTTGTAAAAGGAAGAAGTCCTAAGGAATAAAAGGAGAAATACTGCTTTCTCAGTAGCTATGGGTGGCACGTACCTGCTCCTCAGTCAACTGAACCAAGCCAGGGCTGAAATTCAGTTTGTAAAAGGAAGAAGTCCTAAGGAATAAAAGGAGAAATACTGCTTTCTCAGTAGCTATGGGTAAAGCTCAGGGAAAACTCAGCCAAGGGCACAGATAGACACAAAGTAAAACTAAAATGAGATTCCCAACTTCTAGGATAGGCAAAAAGGGATGGCTTTTGGGGGAAAAGCTAGAGTCTGATGGCTAGACAGAGTCATAGGGAACCAAGGGACAAAGGGCTTGCTAAGACTTAGCTTTGCACAGCTTAACTGCTGTGTATGGACCATGTGTATCAGTGACTGACCACCACTGTATAGATATAAATCCTCACAGCCAAGTAGTTACTACTCTCAAGACATCTGCTCCAAGAAAAGAGCTATAAACATACGACAGTGCAAGAGAGGCTCCAAAATGAGGCCATATTCTTGAGTCTGTAGGCAAAGAAAACATGCCAAAAGCACTTGAGTTGGGAACAGGGTACCTAGGGTATCTGCACAGGAGACATGAGACAAAAATAAAGTGAGGGCAGTCCACCTTACACTGGTGTCTGTTGTTTTCAATAACAGATAACACTGCCTCCAGTAAAAACCAGAATGCGGGACAAGGCAGTTGGGGTAAGTTTTCAGAGCTGCCTAAAAAAATGCTCCTAAACTCCAGGTTCATTGCTTTACTTACAGGAATAAGTGACACCTATCCAACATGGTTAGAAAGCTCAGAGTGACCTCTGAATTATCTGGTTAAGTGACAGCTGTCTGATTTACAGGTTAAAAATTCCTAAGAAGAGAGGTGCCTGGGTAGCTCAGATAGTTGAGCGACCAACCCTTCATTTCAGCCCAGGTCATGATCTCAGGGTCCTGGGATCGAGCCCCACATCAGGCTCCATGCTCAGTGCAGAGTCTGCTTGAGATTCTCTCCCTCTCCTTCTGCCCCTCCTCCTGCTCTCACTCACTGTCTCTAAAAATAAATAAACCTTTTTTAAAAACTCCTATGGGGTGCCTGGGTGGCTCAGGTGGTTAAGTGTCTGCCTTTGGCTCAGGTCATGATCTCAGGGTCCTGGGATCGAACCCCACGTCGGGCTCCCTGATCCAGGAGGAGTCTGCTTCTCCCTCTCCCTCTGTGCGCACGCGCACTCTCTCTCTCTCTCTCTCAAATAAATAAATAAAATCTTCAAAAAAAAGTCCTAAAAATAGCACTGCATGGTAGGGTGGAACATGAACTCAGGACTGTTTCTGGTTTATGCTAGGGCTACAATTAAAAAAAAAACAGTTCAGCATTTTGAAGAGCGTCTTATAAAAGCACAAATTTCACATTATTAATAATAATAAACTTTATATAATAATTAGGTCTAAATGGAAAGCTAGTAAGCAAAAATGACATCTGAAAGCCATCAAAGTCATCAGAAAAGCACACACCTGATAGGTTAGGACCTTAAATTCCAAGTGTTTCTAAAAAACAGGGCCACTGAAAAGTACTTGTTTTTACTAGAGTAACAGACTAAATCTAAGCAGTTACTGAACAAATCAGTTCAGAAATCTTTTTAGAACTGGAGGGCCATGAACTAAGTAAGCCTATCAAGTTCGTCCTTAACCTAGTCCCCTGACCTTGCTCTGAATACCACATACTCCATACTCATACTTTATGAGTCATCACTGATGAGCAATTTAAATTCTCTTATTGTAGCTTTTCAAGGTTTTTTTTTTTTCACCTGAAAACATTCAGAGTTTTTCTGAGCTCAGATCGATAGGTTCAGGCTGTTCTCAGGTGTAGGTCTCTCAGGCTGAGGGTACTCTAAACTCTGAACATGCTGCCTGCTATTCTTAATCAGTGAAGAACGTCAAATACACATCCATGCTCAAGTAAGTACCAAGATATACCCCCAAACCAGACATAGATTATTTTACATTACTGGTTTGGGTTCTCCTCCATTAGCACAAATAAATGAGAACTAGTTATATAATGACATAAATTTACATTATTCCCAATTACAAAGAAGTATTTAATGAAGGCAAAGGAAAAAAAATTAACTTATTCAGTAATAGTCAAAGACCTGATTTTCTCCATCACTGGACTTGAAGTTTCTCTTTCGCCTTACATTCATTCTCCTTAATCACCTCCAAAGTAAAGCAAAATTCATTTTAATATAAATGACAGGTAAAATATTTGCACACATTAAAATTAATCTGCATGCCATAATCTGAGCTTTATTAAAAAATACACATATAGATGAATACACTCATGATGGATTTACACTTAGTTACACAGATGACAATGAGGCCAGTGAACAAATCTGCAGGAAGAATTTACCTGTTTTTCCACAAAAATACCCTAAGGCAGGGTCCTGCAAGTCCAATCCAGCCCACCAGCCATTTCTGAAAATAAAGTTTTATTGGAACACAGACATTCTCATTTCTTTGTGTATTGTCTGTGACTGCAACTGAGACAATACAGCTGGCAAGTCCTTAAATATTTATAATCTGGCCCTGGACACAAAGTTTGCCGACCCCTCTCCTAAGGCACTCTTGGTCCATAACCAAGAGTGTTCATCAAAAATCATTGGCGGGGGCGGGAGCACGGGCGCCTGGGTGGCTCTTGGTTAAGCATCTGCCTTTGGCTCAGGTCATGATCCCAGGGTCCTGGGATGGAGCCCCCGTGTTGTCAGGCTCCCTGCGCAGCAGAGATGTGCTTCTCCCTCTCCCTCTGCCCCTCCCCCCACACTGGTGCACGCGCTCTCTCTCTCTCAAATAAAATCTTTTAAAAAAATTATTTGGGAACCTTTTTCAAAAGATACATGCCTGCACTCCCCTGCTCACTCCCCTTCAGATTTCATAGTTGGGTAAGGACCACTGCTCTAAGGATTTAGTAGCACCACTGACCGATCACCTGGTATCTTCTGCTTCTCTGTATGCAGTGAACAGCCGTAGCATTCTAGGCACTGTGGGCACTCCGTTTTGTCCTTACTGAATGCTAAATGAGCCATTCACTCTACTTTAAAATAGCACTGGCATTTAATACTTACCTAGTATTTTTGCCCACTTCCTCCTCCTTGAAACTCTCCCCCCTCTGACTTCTACGACATCACTTTCCCACTGGAACACATTTCAAACGTCACTTTCTATGAAGCCTTCTGACTTCCCCAATAGAATTACTGATGCTCCTCCATCCCAGCTCTCCGGTGGCATTCTCTACATACTCCTAAGGCTAAACTGTATGTATTCACAGTGGCACTGCCACCGAGGTGTCTCGCCTTGTGCTTGGGACAAAGTAGGCACTAAATTAAATAACCGATAAATGGACAGAGAGATGAATTCTAGATTCTAGGGCGAGGGCTTGACAAATACCATGCCCAGGGAAACAACAAAAATAACACCACACTGGGCCAGGGAATGTTGAAGAAACATGCAAACCCTCCTGGGTGAGGCATACACAGCTCTCCACCATCCTGAACAAACAACCAACTGGATTTTTTCCCACTAGATTTCTCTCCTTCCTTTTCAAACCGCTAGAGCTGCAAACCACACTAGAGCACTGATTAACCAGAAAAGAGGAATTTTACGCTCTACCATTACTTCCCTGGCCAATCTACACCTAGCCCATTATTGAGGTTTCACACTATTATCCAACTGAAGCTCTTCTCCAACAACCCAACAATTAATGAGTGCCCACCTATTGATCAGAACGCTATTGAGCACAAATGAGACATCAAGTACTGTGCGAAGTGTCTTCCATGCATCATCCCCACTTAATCCTATGCTAGGCCAAGAGAAGAGTCTCCACCCTCCCAGAGACCAGAATATAGTGGGGAAGAAAGGCTTGCACACATGTAACAAATACCAGGCATATCATGTTAAACTCTATGACAGAGGTGAAGTTTGAGCTGAACTTAAAAACAGAACTGAGAGGCAGCTAGGAAACAGCTAGGATGAATAATATCA